TCGTTTCTTCACCGCAGTGCAAATATATGAATTTCATATATCTAAAATCATCATGTAACCCGTTAAGTTGAACTGGCTGTTCGGGTAAGACTTGGCGATCTTTGTCTCGGAGAGAAAAATAATTTGCGACTTATTCTTATCATTCAGGAGTTTCAGTTCATCAGATCTATTTTGGAGGCTGTTGATGTTCAGATGGAAAATTAGTATCCGATTGGAATGTTCCTGCCTTTCTTGCAAGAGTAGATCAAACTCCTGTTGGTCGCAGTTGTTAATAGCCATATTCTCCTGGGAGTGGAATTGCGAGTTATTCAACTCATTTGCATTAGGTTGTAGAAGAAGCTGATTTGCCTAGTTTCCTTCGATATTTATTATTTCTTCATCCTCAAGGAAAAACGAGTCTCCCAATCTCGGTAGAGAACGTAGCAGATAAGTCCATTTGATTGCTGGTCGTTCAAGAAAATACTTAAAAGTCGATCGACATGTTGAGGCACTTTGCGTGAATCTAGAGGCTACATTCAGAGTATAACATCGCATTCTGATTGTTTCGAACGCTCTTCTCACATTTCCTACAGGGAAATTTTATCAGGCCAGGATTAAGATGAACATCTCCACAACGTTGTAGTCGTTGGATGTTAAACCAGCTCCGCTCATCAGTGGAGCGGCGCACTCGACAAAGAAGAAATCGGTTTCCACGGCAACGTGGTCTTTGTCTCTATGTTATTTCAGCTTGAGATCCAAATTTCGTCTGCTTCCAGGTTTCCAGTACGTTTCTTGGGAAGTAGGTTTCGGTCAACATCAAAAACGCGATACATAGAGCCAGCAAAGTCACAGATTAGCGGGAACTTTTCGCAGCGTGACCAACCGGTGCCATTGTTGTTGACTGAGAGCCAACAACAGCAAATTTTCAATGGTTGAGCTTCCACACACTGTTGGAACTGTAACTTACTCTGACAATGTACAAAAGACAAACTTTACTCCAATCTCTAATTTTGATACGGGTCGTTTCCTCGACAGAAATCTTTAAAAAGACTAGTTGTGATTTCTAGGGCAATGAAATCTGGGGATAGGTTACGATTTTTGTTCCAAAATCTGAAATGATCCCCGCTCAAGTTGCTGCTGTAGTCATTCAGGTTATCGATCGGATAAATGATGCGAAATTTAGCCGAACTTTGTTTCTGCTTTATGTAAATCACTTCAATCATTTGTTTGAAAAGAGTCATTCAAAGTGTATGCCACCCAAAGGCGGGGAAGGAATTTTGCGTTATGGAAAATTATCTTTAGAGCGAATTATGAAATTTTATTAGGTAAATAATTTTCCATCGATATCAAGGTAAGAATCTGATGAAGGAAATTATTTTAGGAAAAGATATTAGATAAAGAAAATACAGAAAACGATTAATTTGAATGTGACCGTTTATTCTCGTGTGCAAATGTTGCATAAGTCGACTGTTCACGGAGTATTATAACTATATTCCCTAATTGAACTCCGTCAAGTTCTGCTGGAAGAGAGAGGCACTAAAATCCTAAATTTTAAAGGAACTGTGCTGCTGCATCGGTTGCGGGGGTTTTAAATGAGAACTTTGTTTTCTCAACTGAGTTGATAATGTAAATAAATGAAAATTGGCCACCGTAAAGAGTTTCTTAGTTGCAAACCAAATCATAAATGAAACCCTAGCTTGCTTTCTACACTTTCGACATCGAAAACTTCTCTATTCTACGTGATCTTGTGGCTTTAATCATGACCACGATCGATCGTGTGGTTTTAAGCTACATAATGTGATCCACCGCAAATATTTGTAGCTGATGGAAAACTCATTAGCTCCTTTGACCTCATCTTCCTGTTTCGTCATTGTTTGATATTTGGATCGGGCTTAATTAACGCTCTGACATGCTCCATTGACTTCCTCTGGTGATAAAAATAGTTTGATTACGCACATCTGAAGAGTACAACATGCACTAATAAAGTAAAATGGGTACACTTTTTCAAAACGAAATTAACTTGACTGGAGAAAATAAAGTCTTAGAATGGAATTTTTCTCCAAGGTATCAAGTATAAGATGTCGGCATGTTGACACGTGACGGAAAAAAGTTTATATTCATTCGCGTGCATGTCACGGCCAGAGGTTCTTTGCACGAGCTGACTACGTGATTGTCAATCACGGAAAACTTTTCCGTGATTGACAGTCGTAATAGTGAAACAAAAGTAAACAGTCGGGACGAAAAATAAATTGTTTCTTATTTTGAGGCCATTGACAGCTAAGGTTGAGATTTTGCAGGAGACAGTTGCAGAAAGTTGCGGTTATCTTGAAAGAAAATCTACATAGCACCGGTATGTATCATTTAGTCTCTCTTTATCAGGAGCGTTTAGGCCTGCTAAGGTTCGGAGTCTCAAAATCATTTGATAAAACTCCTAAATTCCACTCCATAAGCTCGACAATGTAAGCAGATTGAGAGCTGAAATTCTAAGCTGTCCACATTTGTTTTTCTTCAGATATGAGTTTTTTTTATTTTCAGATCTCGGGCTTCTAGCCTCTAATTACTAGTTTATGGTCGCTAAACATTTGTTCTCGTGGTTAAAACCTAAAATTCGGCTTAATACTAACACGCTCGGGCGGTTTTGCAAGCATTGAGTGTCGACCTTCCATTAGCGTGTGGGTAGCGAA